ACCATACTCTCAAGTTTTCTAATTCTTACAATGAATTTTAAGGGTCTAGAATCATAGTGGAAGGGACATAAAACTGGATCTGGATGAAATTCTTGATAGGGACCATTGAGCAAAGATTTTTGATTTTATGCCACAGTGACTAGAGTTAAAAGAAAATAAGCTTATTTAGTTGTTTGGCTAAAATATCAGCCAGAGATGGCCCACTGTGAATAAGCTGGAGATGCCTGATATTCCCTGGTTTATTGTTGAGGAGGGGATTGAGAGGCTCGGGAACATGGGAATACTGAAGTGGATTTTCCAGGTGAAACCTGCTCCTCCACACTGGAACAGCCCAGAAGATGTGCCATTCACTAACACCTTATAAAGAAGATCTGTGAGGGGAGTGTGAGAATCTTTGAAGAGTTCCACTGCTTCCTCTTCTCTGTGTGCCAGACTTCCAGTGGGAAACACATCCACTATGTTAGAAAACTGATGGATGAGTATAATTGGATTTCAGAGTGACAGGAGCCAAGAGGCAGCACACAACCACCAAACGCAAGGTGCCACCGGGTCACAGGCAAACCAATGCAGACATAGCAAGATTGAAATGGCCTGAATTTTGCATACTGACATGTTGGCTAATTAATTATGATGTTCCCAGAAACAAAAGAGATATGAACCCTATGAAATTTTTATCAGATCTATAGAAGCAGAAAAATTTGGGGGCAAATCAACAAAAGTCTACCTGAAATCATAACAACAGAGAATGATAGGCCCTCAACCAATTCCCAGACTTGAGCCAGTTTATTGATCCAGGATACCAAGACTGGAAAGGAAGCCATTTACCTTGAGGAGGAAACCTGGTACTCTACCAAAAAGTTATACTGTTAATATTTCCCTATCTTACCCCATGCATATGGCTCCATACAGCTGGGGAAGGACATGATCAGACATTTCAGAATTGGGCATGGAAGTGCACACCTGTAATACCAGCACTCTGGGAGGCTGAAGCAGGAGGACTGCAGGTTTGAACCCTGCTTGGGTAACTTAGTAATTTAGTGTGAACTTGTCTCAAAATTTTAAAAAAGTATACATAAAATGTTGGGGAATATAGCTCAATATGAGGCCTTGTATTCAATCTCCAGTATTAAAAATAAGATATGTCAAGGACCACTGGACACCAGTTCTTAACTAACAATTCCAGGAGCTCTGAAACATTATGTCCAATAAGACGAGTGGCCCATGAAGGTCAGGTAATCAATAAAGTTTTAGCCAAGATATGGCTCACGGTGTGTCCCCCAAACCCATCTGGTCATTTCAGAATGCATATTTTTCCCATTCCAGAATGCATAATTGGAGTAGACCTACTTAGTATTTGGCAGAATCCCCACATTTCTTCCTAAACTGTGAAGTCAGGTCTATTACCATGGAAAAGCTGAAATGGAACCATTAGAGCTGCCTCTGTGTGGGAAAGCAATAAACAAAAAACACTACCAAGAGCTGGGTGTGGTGGTACAGACCTATTATCTCGGCATTCTGAGCAGCTGGAGGAAGAAGATCACAAACTCAAGCCCAGCCTGAGAAATTTAGCTACTTTGTGAGACTCTATTGTAAAATAAAATGGGCTGGGGGCGTAGCTCAGTCTGAGGGCCCTGCATTAAATCCCCAATACCACCACCACCGCCACCACCATCACAACAACAACAACAACAATATTATTGCATCCTTGAAGGGATCACAGAAAATAGTACCACAATTCTTGAGTGACGCAGGGTTGGTGGTTCTCAATTCTCAGCTCTCTTACTTGGCATATTTGGCCTGTACAAAAAGTTGGACGGATCTCAGAGGATGATGATGAATGACCACAAACTTCATCAAATGATGACTCCAAATGCAGCTGCGGTTTCCTTGCTTGAGCAGATGAACACACCTCCTGGTACCTGGTACGCAGCTATGGATTTGGTACATGCCTTTTCTTGATCCCTACCCATAATGCCCATCAGAAGCAATATGCTCTCAGCTGGCAAAGTCAGAAATACACCTCCACTGTACTACTCAGGGTACGTCAACTCTCCAGCCCCACGTTACAGCTTAGTTTGCACAGATCTTTATTGTCTTTCTCTTCCACAAGGTATCACACCAGTTCATTACATTAAGATGATTGGACCAAGTAAACAAAAGGCAGAAGCCACTTTAGATGTGTTGGCAAAGCACTTGAGTGTCAGAGGATGGGAAATAAATGCAGCTACAATTCAAGGGCTCTCTACTCTAGGAATCCAGTGGTGTAGCCACACAAAGGTATCCTTTCTAAGGTGAAGGAGAAACTGCTGCATCTGTCTCCCCCTACGAAGAAAAAAGAATCGTGCTTTGTAGGCTTATTTGCACTTGTGAGGCAACACATTTTTCACTTGGGTGTGTTATTCTCACCCATTTACCGAGTGACTCAGAAAGCAGCTAGTTTTGATTGTGGCTCAGAGCAAGAGAAGATTACGTACAGACTGTTATGCCACTTGGGCCCTATTACCCAGCAGATCCAATGGTACTTGAAGTATCAGTGGCAGACAGGGGTGCTGTTTGGACCCGCTTAAAGGCCTACATGGATGAGTCACAGTGGTGCCCCTTAGAATTTTGGACAAGATCTGCCATCATCCATAAACATTTGAGAAACATCTCCTGACTTGCTACTGGGCCTCAGTGGAAACTGAATACTTGACCATGGGACACCAACCTACCACAGGACCGGAGCTGCTATGCAACAGAGGCCAGCACCGAGTCCCCAGTATGGGACCACTCCCTGGGATGATCAGCCTGTCCCCTGGTGACAGGCTGATTATACTGGATCATTTCCATCCTAGAAAGGGCAATGCTTTGTCCTCACTGGAACAGACATTTATTGTGGGTACAAATTTGCCTACCTTTACATAATCCTTCGGCCAGAACTACCATCTGGGGACTCATCAACCATCATCTCATTTCATACAACATTGCCTCTGACCTAGGAATGTACTCTAGGGCCAAAGAAGTGTGGCAGTGTGCTCACGCTCATGGAATCCATTGCTCTTACCATATTTCCTACCATGCAGAAGAGACTAGAATGATAGAACAATGGCGTGGGCTTCTGATGATGCAGTTACAGTGCCACGGAGGTGGAAATACCTTGTGGGAGTTGGGACAAGGTTCCAGAAGGCTCTATGTGCTCTGAATTGTCACCCAGTATATGGTACCATTTCTCCCATAAGCCAGGATTTGAGTCCATTACCTCTAGTGACGTACTAGCAGAAGTTTCCTATTCGCATTGCTTTATGCCCTGGAAGTCTTAGGTCTGGTGGGTGGTGGGGCTTCTATCAGGAGGCTCAGCAATGGCGCCATTGAACTGGAAGCTTAGACTTTCTCTTGGCCATTTTGGGCTCCTCTTGCCTCTGAGTCAACAGGCTAAAAGCGTTATGGGATTGGCAGGGATGATTCATGCAGACGACAAGGAGAAATTGGACTTCTCCATAATGGAGGTAAGAAAGAGTATATTTGGAGCACAGGAGATTGCTTAGGGGATCTCCTGGTAATACTATGTCCTGTTACTGAGGTCAATAAGAAACTACAACAACCCAATATGGCGGAACAGCAGACCCTCTGAGATGCTGCTCATAGCCATGGGAATGCAGATGGCCATGTGAATGCAAGTAGAAGAAGGTAGTTATAAGTATCAGCTGTGACCATGAGATCAGTTACAGAAGACTGCAATCCTCATGAGCATTTCTTTTCTACTTTGCTAATATGCTTGTGCATAGGCACACATATCGTATGCGGTGAACTTTGCTTTCTTTCTTTGGCTTCTTATGTCCTATAATGTAACATTGACTTACTATAAGTGCTTAAGCATTGTTAAATCTGCTTTTTAAGTTCTATATGCCAGGAGAAGAGTATCACCTAAAGAAAGACTTCGCCTCCTATTCTGGGTAATGAATTAACGCATTTTTGGTTGTATCCAGGATAGTTGTATCATGCTGGGTAGAATTATGAACTTGTTGGTCTTTATTTGAAGATTAAGTATGGCTTAAGGGAATTTGCCTGGTAGTCAAATTAACAAGGAGTTGTCATTGTTAATTGTGATATATCAGCTTGACTGGAGTAAAAAATACCAAGCGCCATTTAGGATGCCTCTAAAGGTTACTGGAGCACGCAGGCCAACAAACCGAGGGAGAAAGATCCACCTTGAATGTGGGCGGCACAAACTAATGGATTTGTAGCCTGGACGGAATAAAAGCAAAAGATGGAGGAGCCGAATGGGCTTGAAACAGCTCCATCTGCTTGATTGGGTACATTGCTTGCTACTATTATTCCTGTTGCCGTCAGGCCCCAGCTTCTTCTTAAACCTTTCAACACAGACTCATACACAGCAGCTCTCCAGGGAGCTTCCAGGCCTTCGGCTTTGGATTGGGGGTGTATCCTCATCCCTCTCTTTCCATGGCTCCCAACTTCTTAGACTGAACAGCTACTGGACCCTCAGACTCTCCAGCATGTAGATGTGCATTTTGGTGTCTACCACCGCTGAGCCTATAGTCTAAAACATCCCTGTGTGTGCGTGCGTGCATCTGAGCGTGTGTGTGTGTGTGTGTGTTGATTCTATTCATCCAGAGAACACTAACCAGTGTGCCAGGTCAGATCCCAAGCAGAAGAGCCAGCTGAGCTAGAATTCAGACAAATGGACACAGGGTGATGGGTCCATGAGCAGGGTCAGCTAAGAGGTCATGCACAGCAAGGGAGTGGGAGCCCCGCCTTGTCCGAGCTGGGGTTACAGGAAAACCTGCACCCAGGGGTGCTCTTTTAGCAACTCTTCCTAATACTCTTCTTATTGTAGCACATGTTCTATAAGGAAACTTTAGAGGAATATAGATAAGACCCAAGACCTGTCCTGGATCCCCTCTCAAAGCTCTTGCAAGGATGTGGACCTCCTGCAAGATCTAGTCCCATTGTCATCTGTCAGAACACATCTCTGGAGAATTCTAGTTCCGCCGACCTCCTGGAAGTGCACTGGTGTCCGTGTCTTCATCAGCTGCCATCTACAGTGTCCAGCGTGCAGAGGACTTCTCCCTGTCTGACATCTGAGGGCGAAAGACAATGCAAGGAGCCAAGGCCAACTGCAGGCGCTCCTAACTGACTAGGGCATGGCTGCCATGGGAGCCGTGGAGACAGGGATCTTACTTAGTGACAGATCCAAGTCACAAAGAGCACCTCACTTCTGGAGAAGTCTTCATACCCTCACCCCTTATTCAACACCTAAGGCCCTGGCTCTGCCCTGCCCACCACCAGAGGTGGGTGAATGTCTCTGGAGGAGTAAGAGGTGGAGACCCACAGTGGGAGCCGCAGGGCTTCGGGAAGCCTGCTGTCTGGAGTGGACACCAGGACTGCAGATTCCAGAGCAGAAGTGACAGGACAGGAGACAAAGGCAGATCACACACCCAGACTTCCTTATGATTGGCTCTTTGATCCTTAGGGAACTACTTGTGGAGCAGCTTAAGAAGCAAGATGGGGCGGGGGACTAACTAGAAAAATGCCCCTCTGCCCAAGGCGCACATACACTTAAATCACACAGCGTCTTAGCCACACAGCAAGTGGGTCCACCGCAGAGCGGCTTCCTGGCCACGGAGGAGGTCATGGCCGGCAGCTGTGGGGACGTTTTACTTTTGGGGATCCTTAGAGTCTTGCAGTTATTCCAGGTCCCGTGTCTGATCTCCTCCAAATGCAGGCCCGGTCAGTCCAGTCCTTTTGTGCCTTAGCGTTCCAGCTCGGGTCACCACGATTCCTGCAGTGGATAGATTTTTGGACAGGCCCGCCCGGGGCTGCTCCAGGGAGGGAAAGAAAGGCCAGGAGACGCAGTGTCCGGACGCCAGGGCTGGCCCCGGTTGCCAGGCGCGCGTTGCCGGGTGACCGCCGCCTACTTAGGACTCGCTAGTGGGAGCCCCGCTCCCTGCGCGCTCGCAGCGGGCACCATGGCCTCGCGCAGCGCGGGCACCCTACTGACCGAGTTCAACGCCGCCTACGTGCCCCCCAGCCTCATGCCCGGGTAAGCCTGACGGTGGCGCCCGCTGCGCTTCCTCCCGCTGCGCCCCAGGTCGCCGCGGCCCCGCCCCGCGCCTTTGGGGTTTGGTGGCCTCGCTGCGTGGCCGCGCGGTCTCAGCATGTGTGGGGGCCAAGCGGGCGCTCATGGATTCCCCTTGGGAGGAAGTCGGTTGCTGAGAGGGGGGCAGTCTGGGGTAGCCGGACCTCCCTAGGAGATGGACCCCAAAGGGCAGAGAACAGGGACACCACTGGGCGTTAGGGTTTGGAGGACCCCTGGACAGCTGCCTGGATGCGGGAGAGGGGGCTGCGTGTGTGTGCTGGGGGATGTGATGCGCCTGCCGGAACCGGGACCGGGCCGCGTGGGGCACCCAGGACTCCGGCGACAGGAGTGTCTGTGGAAAGGCGCGCTGGCCCACGTGGTTCAAGGCTGGGAGCGTGTGTGCTTCGGCCGACTTTCACACATGCATCCTCCTGTGAGCTGAACAGACAGCAGAATGCAAGGATCTCAGTTTGTTTAGAGTTTGGGCCTGCGTTCAGAGTAAGCAGACGTGGAGGAACTGTCATCATAATGTCATTTCCCGAGGCTGGGAGCTGGGGCTTTAGTTTTCACCTAGAACATCTGGGGACAGCACTTTTCTCTAGCCATTGGACAGGTCAGGAGCTACTTTGTTCCCCAGGAGAGCTGATTTAACAGGCAGCGATTTCCTGAAGTCAAGCCAGGGCTGCTGGAAAGGGCACCTTAAGAATTACACACTCACACACACACACACACACACACACACACACACACACACACACTCACTCACTCTCTCTGTCTCTGTCTCTCTCTCTCTCATTCACTTGAGAATGATGTGTCCAGCACTGAGGAGAGGAAGGTACTAGATGTTGTATTAAGATGTGGGGAAAACAAGTAAGCGGGGCTCCCCTCACCGTCTTGTGTAAATGCATAATTTTTAGTTCACATCCATCTCTGCAGTTTTAGACAGCGGTGTTTGCACCACATTCTGGGTGTTTATTGTGGTTTTTTTTTTTTTTTTTTTTTTTTTTTCTTAAGCCCCACGTAGACTCTGGTTGGAGCTTCTCTATTGCCTGGCTCCTTGGTGATTTGCTGTCCATGGGATGAGGCCCGCTGTACCTGTAGATCCCGCTCCATGACTCCCCCATTCTCCTGAAGGGGTGAGAGCAATTGGTTTTGGACACAGTTCTCACCCAGGCTGCCTCTATCCCTGCCACTGGTCTGTGGTTTCCAAGAGCATAGAACCTGTTGTGTGATTCATTTAGAAACAGCAATAGAAAATTTCTGGGCTGGCCTGGCCCAGTTTGCTGCTTTCTAGGCTGGATCTTTCTGGAAGGGATGCGTTCTCCTGACAGATTCCCTATCGAGGAGGTTGAGCTGTTTTCTGTTTCTGAATACTACCTCCTTGGGCATTTTGTTAACTTAATGAAAGAATCTAAGATTGCTCACCACATTTGGATAATTATTATTTTTGTGTGTCTTTTCAAACATTAATCACAGACTTTTACAATACAGCCAGTTTCTTCTGACACTCAAATCACCTCCTTTGCAGTTTTATTCATAAAAGCAGAGAATCTTTAGTCTGGTAAGAGCACACAGCCTAGGCCCCTCCTGCTCCAGATCTGGGCACTGAGGTCTTCCCTGAGCCCCACACTGGTGATGGTAGAGATGAGCTAGAATTGGGTCCTTGGTGCCCAGTGGTAGCACGATAAACCCTCATGTATGAGCACCAGCTATGTGGCAGACATTGTGCTGGCCCCTTTACAAACACTCCTTTTAAAGGTGGTGCATGCCTGTAATCCCAGCACTCAGGAAACTGAGGAAGCAGGATCATGAGTTCAAGGCCAGCCTGGAATACATGGTGAAGCCTAAAACAATAAAAACCAAAAACAAACTAGATAACCACACAGATGAGGAATAGGCAGATTCCCTGAGGCCATTCAGTAAGTAAGTTTCCCAGTCAAGTGCTTGTGACTTTAATACCCCTGCTCACCGCAGTTATCTACCTCACCCTGAGGCCTGGTTTTCAGTCCTGACTCTATTACTCCCTTACCCTGGGCAAGTTATATCTCTTTTTGCTGCTTCGCTTAGCTCACCTGTTAAATGGGGACCCTACTAGTATACTCAGATCCAGATAGGTTCTTATCCTTAGTATCTTAGCCATGATCATTAGTCAGACCCTGCTGTGTTCAAGCCCTTAGTAGGCTCCTCCATAGGGGACCGTGGTCCCAGATGGTTGGTGAGGCAACGCTGGCGTGCTGCTGGTCAGCCAGGCTGTTCTCTTTTGCTCTCTGTTGCATCTGGGCATGGTAGCTCCGGGAACCTTGCTGCATGTGCCCGGCCTTGGCAGTGGGCAGGAAGGTCTGGCCTCAGTGTCCCAGGGATGACTGGGGGTGTCTGGCTTCGGTAAGAAGCTGCCTCCTGCCAGCAGGTCAGGGATGGGTGGCGCCCTTCCTGGGCTCTCCGCCCCCCACCCTGCTCCCCAGGCTCCTGGTGTATTCATTCATGCCCGGCTTGATACTGTCCCTGGAGCTCACAGCTTCCACCTAGCAGCTTTTCCTAAGAGGATTAGCTCCTGGCCCCTGCCTCCATCTGCCTGGGCAGGCGGTTGTAGCCTCATCTGCAGCTGAGCGGGGCCTCAGGGCCCTAAGCCAGTGCTTTCCACCCTTGATCTTATCAGAAGGATGGCATCAAGCAGTGCTGTACCCTGTCTCCAGAGTCCCTGAACAGCAGACCCTGTGCTGTGCTTTGTTTAATAACCATCTCTCTGAAGGAGAGAAACGTTCACCCCTATCTGTGGTACAAATACCACTACCCACCCCATGCCAATGTCAAGCTGTCCCCCTGGTGTTCTTAAGTGAGCTGGGAGGGAATGCAGCCAGCCCAGCATCATGGAGGACAGTGGTCATCCTCACGAAGGTTTACTTCCCCCAGGTCCAGTTACTCTAGATCAAATGGTATCCAAAACCATTGACTGGGAAATTCCAGGAATAAACAGCTTAGAGGTTTCAAATAGTTTTCATTACAGTGTATTGTTGTCATGATTGCATTGCATCATCAATGCTGTTTCTTCCTTACTTTGCCTATTTTATCAATTACACTTTATCATGGGTGTGTGGGTAGAGTTCAGAGCACTGCCAGGTTTCAGGCACCCCTGGGGGGTCTGGGAATGCACCCCCAAGGAGAAGGGCACTATAGACACACTTTGACAGAAGGAAAATAGTAAGATGTAATACAATGATACAGGTGCCTGGAGTCCTCCCTCTGCTCAGCCACCTTCTCTTCTGAGGATCCGCAGCCCCACCCTGAGAACCTTGGCCCTTCCCGGCCCTGCATTTACAGAGCACCAGCTGGCCGTGGGGCAAGCAGGGGTTTGGACAGGAATAAAGTATACCCCTCCAGCCCAGGGAATCTGTAACTCAGAAAAACGGTTCCAAGGGCCTGGTTCATTCTAAGCACGATAGAATATGAATTGGGTTGTGAAAAAGGAACAAAATCCAGAAGAAAGAAGGGGAGCAGGGCAGGGTCTGAAAGGTGCCTGGAAAGACGGATAAAATAATCCAGGTTGAAGGGGGTCCTGGACAGAGGGAAGACTTTGATAAAGTGCAGGGCGGGAGGTTATGGCAGGACATGCTTTCAAAACAGTGAGTGTCCTCTTTGGCTTCAGTGGCAAAGCTATGATATGGAACACAGTGACAAGCTGGAAAGGCCTTTTGGAGGCCACGTCAGGAGGCCCCGAGTAGCTGACCCAATGTGTTCTCACTTCACAGCCCTGGTAGGTTCTGCCCAGAGGAAGGATCTGACCAGAGCGGTCCTCAGCAGGAGGCGCTGTGGAGCAGGGGAAAGGGGACATGCTGAACACAAGTTAATTAGCTAATAAGGTTGCTCATGGGATCCCTGATGCTCGTGGTAATTAATTTTAATGTTAGCTATGGGGCCAGCTGGTGCTGCTCGGAGGCAGTGAGGGACTGCTCTCCGTATCCACAGGAATCTGTTGTGGGCTCTGGACCCCAGCGACTGCCCCCGGGGAACCTGGCTCAGCTTTTACATGTACAGGTGAAGCTTGGCGGCAGATCCAGGGCCACAGGTCAGGTGTAGGTGCAAGGGTCCAGCAGAAGGTGTGGTTTCGCTGTCCTCTGCCAGTGCCCTCTATTGCTTTCCACCTTAGCTGCTCACAAGCCAACCAAAGCAGGGGTGACAGGCCCCTGCCGTGCAGCTACCAGGGGTCATGTGCGA